TCTAACGATTGCGAAAGGTCGAAACTTGGCAACATTTAACCTTTTCCATTCGTATCATATTATTATATTGTACTATACACTATTAATTACTTCCTGAATAATACAAGATATTAAAAAAATTAAATAAAGAAAGAAAAAGATTCATATATTGAAAGATTAGAAACGCTAATTAGATGTCGTAAAATTTAGGAAGGCCAGTTCAACAATAAGATTTCGATGCTCGGAAAGAACAATTTTACTGAAGTACGCAAAAAAATATTTTGCTGCTCCAGCTAGAATTATTGCTGTTTTTTGTATCTGATAGAAAATTATGTATCATACGCATAGAATTTATAGCACAAATCTAAATTCTATCTCTACCATCTATATGATTAGATGTAATATCCAAGTACTTGCTAGAAATTTGTCTATTTTAGCTAATATTTCGTTATATATTTAGTTATATTTATTTACAATTAGATAATTTTATAACGCTATAACTGCAAGATCACTTTTTTGAGATACCTAATTTAAAAATTTAGCTAGATATCTGAAAATAATTTTGTTGTATATATATATATAATATATCTAGCTAAATATTCAGCTAATATTTCAGCAAAACCGTTATTTTTTTTGCGGCAAAACAGCGACTCTTTTTTATTTATTCAGGCGGATATTTTTTCGTAATTCGCGAACGGATACGATCGCAAGAACGATTATGAGACAGAATTGCAACAAGTCGTTCAAACCATGACGTCGCACTCGCTGACCCCGAGGGTCAATCCATCGGGTGAAACGAAACGCGTTTCGCGGCCGCGACCGAGAACTTTCATACGAGAACCGTCAACGAGGCATCGCGGGATGAACTTCAAGTTTTGTGCGGGATGATCTTCAAGCTCTGGCCGATCAAGATGAAGGAGGAGAACGGTGCCCTCGTCGGCGAGGTACGACCGGCGAACAGGTCCGGCGAATACAAGATCGCAAACGCCGTTCTGTTTTGTTGCCCGTGTGTCTTCCGATGCAGGAAGTCAGTCGATGTTGGCCGCGAGAACGACGGCGACGGGGATGGCAATGCGTCCGTCTCGACCATCATCACCACGACGACGACGCCGGTCATTGCTTTGAGATTGAATCGAAACAGCGACACGATGTATGTTGACCATCGCGGATCGAATTTGAGGAGGATAAAAGAATGTAGCGCGATTTATAATAGATGTGTAATAGTTTATTAATATTGAAAACCTCGAAAGTGCTGTCGATGGAGATAATGTTTTATTCTTCATGAGAAGAAAATAGATATGATATCGATCTCGACGAAGAGAAAGAGAAACGGCATAAGTTGCTGCATTGAGAAAAAATGTATTAAATTTTGGTATAAATCTTTGTACTAAAAAATGTACTAAAAATATTATACTACATTTTAATAAATATTTGTTTAAATTATATTAACTTAATAGTGACTTACGATAAATGAATATTTACTGAATGAAAGAATGATAGTTACATCAAATGAATGATTCTTGTACCAAAAATTAAATACATTTAGTAAATATTCAGTCAGTACTTTTCAAATATTGTTCACAAATACGTTTTTACTCAATGTAAAGTGTAAAACAAACCTTTATATTAAAAGCCTAAAACGTTACTACAAAAAAGATGATCACCTAATTTTGAGAAAAGGTCATCAAGCTTAGGCTCGATCAAATAATCGACCAATTTAATAATAAACATTATTATGTTAATTTAATATTCTCAAGCATAAAAGACACGTTAGTGTTACATGACACTCGTGTTTTATTTACCACGATTTGCTATTCTGGAATATAGATTCGTCGTGTTTCAGCTTATAAACATGCAGCTATGCAACTAAAGTTCGCGTGAAAATACCATTTTGCGCGCTAACCCCGCCATTATTGAAACATTAATATGTCGCGTAATGATTGCATGTGAAATTACTTCTAAGTCGATTTCTATTTTTGCATCTCTTACAGTAATAAGGCGACGATGGTGAATGAAGAGGAGTACAATGTACGAAACAGGCGTCATTTCTCGCCCGACGCGAAAGGCTACCACGTACAAAATTCGAACAAGGAGGAATCGCGGTACCAAGGTATGTAGTTCTCTCTTTCTCAACAAAAACAAAAAAAAAAACATTTGCCAGGAAGCTCTGATATTTTCAATTTAATGTTTATTTCGACATTTAATTAAACTGGTGGTGATCTACACTTTTCCTTTCGCTTAAATTTAAAAGATTACCGAAAGATTAACACTCTTCGTGGATATAGATGGTTGTCTTTCACGATACCTGATTAATAAATATGATACATCGGATCGCACATCTCGTACATCGATCGAAATGTCGCGCTGTACTAAAAGGACTTGCGTTCTCAGGAAAGATACACAATAAATTAAATACAATGGAAACTTTCGGTGCCCGAAAGCACGCAGCGCTGGAAATACAGCGAAATAGAACGAGAGGTTCTTCACCTCGTCGTTGTGCATGCATATAGAGTTTAGGCCTAGCTGACGCGCCGGTCGAGGTAATCAATATTCCGCTGGTCAAGTCTAAGGTACGATCGAACGTCGCGCTGCAGCGGAAAGTCCGATCGATAGCCCGTCTCATCTTCCAAATTGCAACACATTTAAATTAGTGTCTATCGAGTCTCGCGATATCTACAAACATGTGGACAGAAAATTCTAATAACGCCTAATCTAAGACTAATTTCTTAAAATATTTTTTTAATATAAGAAACTCTCAGACACACAAAAAACATAGATTCCATTATATTATTCTTCTTTTTTATGTTAATATAATTTAAAGTGAAACGTTTTATGAATTATATATTTAAATAATTCCTTTCCAATGTAATAATTTAAATAATAATTTAATATTCTGTCTTTTTGTATATTTGATCTTAAAAAAATGTTGCCTGCGGCGGCCCTTCTTTTAACAAATTTCTAGATCTGCTAATGAGATTTCTTAAACATTCATTGATGTCTTCAGTGAGCACATATGATAATCATCACATCTCTCTGAACGTTCTGAATTCCCAGAGTTTCTGCGTTCCTTCTCAATCGGCGCGCGCGAACGTCCGAAAAGCGCAAGCAGTTCGTCATCGGACGTTTCCAGGAATGATCGACCGGAACGAGGAGAAGATCAGGACGCGACATTACGAGATTACAATGGCAATGACAATAGCGGATCGTCGACCCCGCGGAGTCAGAACGCTGGCGATCCGGCGTTCGACGTTATCACGCAACAGACGGCGAATCGTCAGAGCACCGCTCGCGACGACGTCGATTCCTTTTTCGTAAGAAATCATCGCTTTTACTAACATTCTTTTTCCTCTCACAACGCGTCGAACTGCTGAAAAATCGAACTTGCAAATCGCAATCTTTACATATACAGGGTGATCCATCACCGACGAAGAGCAATTCAGCAATAGACTTTTTCGCATATATGGAGTCGTTACTTCCTCAGCGAAAATTTAACCGAAGTCTGTCATTTTGTTTTTCAACATTAAATATTATGGTAATTAAACGTCAGATTAGAGTTCAAATAGAGTCTGCTTGAAATTTGCTGAAGTTATTCAGTCACGTATCTATTTAACAGGCATTCAAGCCTACTTAAAGACAATGTATAATTCGCGATTAGAATTCTATTTATAATAAATTCGCGAGACAGAATTCTATTTATAATTTTATACGTTGCGTAATACAGAAAAAATATGAATAATTAGAATTATAAATTTATAATTACAATAGTATAGTCTATTTTTATAAATATAAAGACGCATCAAATATGTACAATGTACAGGGAATAACTCGTGATTGGTCAATTGGATGTGGTGTAATGAAAATTGAAAATCTATAAGAGCTGTGAATAGAGTCGTGTCCAATCGGATAGGCAAGCAAACCTTGTCTATATATAAGTGACATAAATTACAATTTAACCTACGTATTCGATGTCGTATTTCTTGTAATAAAAGAAAATTTTCTTATCTACAATTGTATTTATCATTTGATACATAAAATTACAAATAGAAGTCTGTTTCGAATTCTAATCGTGAATTATAGATCGTGTAAAGTGAGGTTTATACAATAACATTATGTCTGAAGAAAAATGCCATCGTCATTGAAATGCATTTAATACTGGGAGATGTCATTGAATGCGAGCTTAGATACTATTATTTTTATCAGATATTTCTGTTCTTTCTGCAAATGTAAGTTAAGATAATTAGACATTGGCTGTGTTCCACTTAACGCTCACAACGCTCGTAGAATTATTTCATCCTTGTTGTTTATTAAATATTATATAAGTACAAACGATGCTCGCGAGCGTTGCGAGCGTTAAATGGAACGCAGCCATTATATGATCGACGAATAACTTTTTCGAAAAATTTTAGACACCATTGGATATCAACAAAATGGAATACCCAATCGCAACGGCAGAAGCATCGACCGTGGACGAAGTGTCAAAGGAATGGAGCAGCGAGGATGACATGAAACCGGCGAGTCGAATCGGATCGATTTCCAGGCATTCAAATCACAATGAGCTAATAACCGTGGATGAAAATTGCAATAGAAGTACAGAAAGCAGCTCTGGCGTTCCCGAACAACCGGAGGACGACAGGTCGAGCGCGCGAAGAAGGTCAGTCGTGTCCGCGTTATCGAACGAGCGGATTCTACCCTACGAAGACACGAAGATATTCAAGGAATCGCTACAATCGAAGGTTACATTCAGTCCCAAGAGATCAGAATCACTATACCTGACGTCTCACATTCACAGTGCTCATCACTCGCCAATCTCTAACTCACCGATCAAGCGAAATTCTCGCTGCGATTCGCGCAATTTGGTCAGTAGACAATAAATCACAGAAAAATAAATATCTATAAGAATTACATTTCTTCTTTCAAATATCATTCATAATAAATGCAAGTAAAATTCATGCGCGATTATCACATATTTTATATTGTATTAAATCAAATTAATATAAGTTTCTTTTAATATATTTTTTTACTCAATGGCGTGTTTTATTTAACGTTGGATATTTCGAATGTTAGATCGAGGATTCAAGGGATTTCAGTGAGGAGAGAATAATCGCTTCCATAGTACCTGACGAGAATGCTTCCATTCGATCATTGGACACCGTTGGTCATCCACCCATAGACATCAGCATGGTCGGTGATTCACCGGCAATTATCATCGCATCGAGGCCCCATTCTCACGAAACCGTCGAGTACGAGAACGCGAGAAGTGTCGAAAATGATAACTCACATAATAAAATTAATACTCAGGAGGTAAGATCTTTCTATACGATCAAACTGCCTATTGAAGAGCACATTCTGATTGAGATATAATTATGGTTCTAGTCCACGGAAGAAGAATCGAGCGTAAACGATGCTTTGGAGGACATACAAAGTAAAGACAGCGCGAGCGAAACGAATATGGAGCCAGGAATATTGAAGATTGAGGTATGATGTATATGACAAAGAGACATTTCTTTATAGAATAGAATTTTAATGGAATTTTTTAACGGTTTTGCTGAAGTATTTAAAAATTTAAATAGACAGACATGAAAATAAATTTTGGATTATTAAAATAATTATGTAAAACGCTCAAACTAATTATTAGAATGTCAAAACTTTTTACAGCATTTCTCATTACGCTTGAGTTTTCTACATATGTAATTATTTTTACAGTCCAAATTATTTTCTGATCTGTATTCCCTGGTGAAATTTTTTCTCAGAATTTTTCATATAATTTTTCAGAATTTCTCTATAATTTTATAGCTTTCTCACATTTTTTATACAAATTAGAACATTTATCAGAAAATCTACATTTTTTTCTCAGAATTTTTCATATATGTTAATATCGTAAGATTGGAATATCGTAAGATTTTTAAGATTTTTTGTAAATATAATTTCTGATGAAATGTTATAAAATTATCTAAAAAATAATCTAAAAAATTTTAAAATACTTTATAAAAATTATGGAATGAGAAATTTCAGAATATTTCAGAATTCGCTTGTATGAAAATTTCTGAGAGAAGATGTCAACTTTCCGAATATTTCTGAGTATTTCTGAAAAATGTTCCAGTTCATATAAAAATTATGAGAAAAATTTTCACCAGGGGGTTTACCTAAATTTTTAAATATTTTAGCAAAATCGTTCTTTCCGTTAATAGAACACGCACGTACACATAGACACACAAAATTAACATTTCCGGAACTCTCTTGCAGTCTGAATCTGCAGAAGATGTCGAATCGCGTAGAAGAATGCCCTCGAAAGTACCAGTGCGCGGTTCTAGTAGGTGTCGAATGCCTTCCAACAAGAGAGTTATAGAGAAGCCCTCAGAAAAATCCAAACGGATGGTACAGCAATGCTTTTCGCAGCTTGAGAATAAAGACTGGTACGTATCAATCTTGTAAAATCTATGTCAATATCAGCACAATTGTATGACAGGTAAATCATTGTTATTCGTTGTACGAATAATTCATTGCCGGAATATAATTAACGAACAAGTATTAACGAACTTTTCATTCAGCGTTTATATCTTGCGTTTTAGGGAAATAACGATGAAAGGTCTGAAAGCCCTGTCACAGATCTCGAAGCAGCATCCGGAGGGCTTGGACGTCTGTGTGGCCGGAACGATAGGAAGGCTTTTAGGGCGACACATAAAGAATCTTCGATCGCAAGTAGCACGAGCCGCATGTCTCGCTGCCGGTGACGTTTTCAGCTCTCAGATACGGGGTATTGATCAGGTAGATATCAAGCATGTCGTTTTGCATAAAGGCATAAAAATTCAAGCACTTTTTTTCATATTTTATCGAACGTCTTATTTATATTTTGCTCTTAGGATCTGGACGACATAGCTGGACCGTTGCTTCACAGAACAGCCGACACGAATCGATTTCTTCGATCGGACAGTAACTCAGCGCTGGATCAGATGATGCAGTATCTTCCGCCTCATAAAACCATCGGTATCATCGTACTTCGAGGAGCCGGGTAAGTCCGCAGTTTCCTTGCGATTGAGGAAACGTTTTTCCGTGCGACGAAGCTAATCTCTAGGTTGCGATTCCTATTTTTTAGTCATCAAAACGCTATCGTTCGCGCGGCGACCGCACGACTGTTGTCGGACATCACCGATCGCATTGGACCTGATCATATTATGATCTTACCACGCGACGTGAGGGACAAGTTGCTAAACGCGGGCGCAAAGTTGTTGATGGATGGAAATCTAGACGCAAGGTGAGTGAATTTACAATTAGACTTAGTAATATACATTCTCATGTCCGAAGTCGATACCTAATAAGAAAAAAATGTGTGTTAAATTTAATAAATATTTACTTGCAATAAAAAAATGATAGTTATATCAAATTAATATAGTTTTTATATACATATATATTTATTTGATACAAGAACTATTTTTAATAAATATTTAGTTACTATTCAAACAAATGATTTATTAAAATTTAATAAATTTTTTTTCAGTGTAGCATCATAATTATGATCGTAATAACTTGAATTTCCAGGAATCATGCAAAAAGGATGTTTCGGCGACTGACTCGCTGCGAAGGCTTTCGTAAAGCGTTGACGGACGCGGTGCCCGAAACGACGTTGAGACACATCGACAAAACTATGAAGACCCTATAATTGAACGTTCGGTTAAATCTGCATTCGATGTAATCTAGCCGTCTTACCGTTGCTCGGACTATCTCAAAAGACTGTTTATCACGCAGGATGTTTTTACGATTCGTTAGAAGCCAATTTTATGGCATAGACATGAATTTTCTACAACGTATACGCCGAAAAAGATGTCGACAAGTAGTCATATAAATAACTTTTCTTTCCTCCGCGCTGTATATTTACCTCCTCGAAATTAAATGGAGCGAGAGATGTGATTTCGAAGATCAGGAGTCAAAGAAGGTACAAGAAAAACCCGAGGAGCGTCCCCATCTTCGCGTCATGACTTCGATCTTGCTTTTTCATCGACGAATTTATCGCGCGACGAAGTTTTGATACTTGTAACTTTAATACATATACGCATGTATAATAATTTTTTATATGATTGTATAAAGGATGCGCTTTGGCGCAAATACATTGGAGAACTGTGCCTTCACGTTGGTGATCATAAATTACGCAATTGTAGCTCAATTACATTGTAATGTTCATGAAGCGTCGTCAATGTGACAAAAATTGTCATGTGTTTCGAAAAGAGTAAATGACGTTGTCTCGCTATTGTCTTCACCAACTCTATATTAACGAGTTGCAGGAAGAAAAAAAAAATATATAACGGAAATTTTCCTGAGGAAAGGAGTTCATTGCTGACGGCAATGAATCTATTTCAGAATCGCTAATGCTTTCGCGAGTCGAAAGTTTAGATTTGTTAATTCCATATATTTTTTTGTTGTAAATTCGATTGTTACTCTCTAATATATTTTGGACTCTCGGAAAATATAAGAGAAAAAAAAATATCGGAGAGCGTCTATAAATTTTATAGAACACGAAAATCAGGTGCTGAAAGTTTAGAATATGTTTATAAGAAAAATTATATAGAAAGAATTCGTCCGAATTATTCGACTCTGATGTCTAAACTGAGCATCGTATATTAAAGATTAACTCATATTTATATAAATAATAATTTATATGCATATATATATATATATATATATATATATATATCGTTATACAAAAATATTTGCTTATTATTGAAGGCACATACACATACTATTGATAAATAAAATTACTACTGTTATACTAGATTGACCTTTTTATTCGCAACGAAATTTTAATATCCATAATATCGCGATTCAGAAAATGTATTTTACCTACATTATTCAAGATAAAATGATTCCTTGATTCGAAGTCAGCATCAGTAAACAATTGAAAATAAAATCGCGACTGTCGTCATTATTATTAAAATACTGAAGGTTATTTTATTAAACTCGCAATATCAAAATGTTAAGCTCTTTCACTTTTTAAAAAAAGTTGACAAAAATCAGCAGAAAAATATATTTTCAATATTATATACGAATATACATCTACATATAAAAATGGAAGAATCTTTGATTCAAGATGAGCCAATTGAAAGGAGCATAAAAATAGTTATAGATTCTATTGAAAACATTGTACGTTTTTTTTTTTCGTACAATTCAATTACGGCATAATCATGAGAAAATTTGTTTATAAGACAGACTGTGAAAGAAAAAACTGGCATATCGTTTATCGTGATACATAATGACATAGTGCTCGGAGAAAGTATTCCTCTCATTATCGATCCGGATTTTAAAGAACCACCGCAAGTTTACGACGTCAACTTCGGGGTCGAATTTTTATTTATAGTTAACGACCGCAACAACATGAATTCAATCGTATCCACGCCGATTTTAAGTAAAGAATTTGCTCTTCCATATTACGACATATTTGCATGCATATCAATAAATAATTCATAATCAGTAAGTTAATAATTATTCCGATTGAGGTAAATCATTGCTTTATCAGTAAAGGTAACGAGTGATGTCCAAGATCAACATGTACCTAATTCCAGCAGATCAGTTATGGAATCCAAGCAGAAAATAACAGCGATCGTTCCACAGCAAATATCGACTTCATCAAGCGTAATTGGTTTTTGCACTCTCGATTTAATGCCGATATTGCTAGGTAATGATTTATCACGCTGACATGGAGAAAGTAAAGTCGAGACACTGTACTAAAAATAATTCTAACAACCTTGACCACTAGGTGAAAAACTGCTCGTTGAAAGATTAATAGTGCAAACGCCACATCTTTCGTTTGATGGCAATGCGATCTCGTGGCAAAATCTTCCTTTGTTAAATGCGACAGTAATATACGACGGTGAGGAGATATTTTCTGAGCAAGCAGAAATTAATTTCCTGAGTGTTACGGTGGAAAGTATCTACAATCCACCAATTTTTTTTACCGAAGATGCAGATTATAAAGCGGGCACGATAATATATGTTGACAATGAGGTATCTTATTGTTTTCAATAATTATTTAGCTAAAGACAATAGAAATTTTAGTTATAACTTTAGGGTCAATTAATTTTATTTAAGAGTTATTAAAAGACCAACATTCTCTCTTTCCTCTTTCCTTATATAATATATCAGATTAAAAATAAACTGATTATAATATTTTTTAATGATAATATACTGTTCTTTGCATTTTTTGTTATAACGCGTATATAAATATTTGTACATAAAAGAAAAAATAGTTTTATAAAAATTACGAATTGGATGCGTAGCAGAGCCAATAAAATGTGGACAAAAAAGATAAGTTCTTAGAATTGACTCGCATATTACGTTTATAAAGATAAATGCGAGTATCAGAGTCCTAAGAACGTGACTAGAATGTGTAAATACATGTAATCTAGAGGATTGCATTTTTATATAAATCAATTATATATAATATAAGTCAATTAAAAAATTTACAACTGTTAGGCATTCAAATTAACAACGTTTTAAATGAATTCTTTGTGTGTTAATTCGATAAAACAAAAATATTTATGCAAAATAAAATTAATCATAATTATATAAACAAAAACGATACTCTTTATCGCAGCTTCCGGAAAATGTAAAATTCGAAGACGGTAAATGGACAAAATATCGCGATCTGGAGAGAATAAAACGATGGCGAAACTTATCAAAGTTACAGAGTCGCGCCAGATTGTCGAAGTGGAAACTCGATTACGATTACGCACATAAAAACATAAAAAACATGCTTGACGTAGAACTCGACTTACAGGTAGGAACAACATTTTGCAATTTGATCTAACAAATTAACTGTACAAATTAACTGATGAAGCGCGAAATAATGTGTAATTTGCAGAAGAAAGTATGTCAGGACGAGCCTAGAATCGAGTGGAACTTTATGAATCGCAGTATATTGTGGGATGTGGGAAGCGAAATGATGAAGAAGCGTCTTGTCAAGTACATGTCCATTAAAATTTTTTTCTAATAAGTATAAAAGATCGAAGAATTCATGTTAAATATTATAATTATATTCGAAGGTATAAATATTGGCCATTTCAATTTATGGTAAGCAAAAAAATCGCGGAAAAGAGCAATATTAAACAAAACGGAGAAGAATTGAGTGAATGTCAACTTTTTCAATGTTACGTCGATTTATCAGAGCTTGTTTTTCCAGGAAGTAAGTGTGAACAAATCATTTTAATATATAATAAATAATTGTTATTGAAAAGCTCAATATTTTCCTCCTTTAAACATTTTCTATAGTAAAAAGCACTCGTGTAATTGCGCAATTGTACACGCATGATGCATCGAGTATAGCCGAGAAGACTGGTTTAGAAAAAGATATTTTCTATACAGAACCTCGGAGTATAAATTTAAAAGAACAAGAATCAGAGAAGGTTTACATGATATATAATATTTAGAATTTTACGCAAATTTATTTAGTATTTGAAACATTCTTATATATAACACATAAAAAAATCAGTTTTAATTAAGAGAGTTTTTTTCCAATTGGATTTCGATTATTCGTTTTAGATGGATATCAAAATAACGGAAAGTAGCCCGTTAATTTCGGAGACTGGCGAGCCTGTGTTTGTCATAATCGAGTTCAAGCTTTTTTATCCACTTGTCCCTTGTAGACTTGAAAGTGACTTTTCAGACATGTATGTTCATAACATAAAAATAAATTACAATAAAAAATACCATAGTATTTAGTTATTAAAAAATTATATATACCACAAAATTTATCCCAAATAATTGATGTCATTAGAATCGAGGAGATGATGAAATTACAGCCGAAAATAACTAAGTCGCATTACGTTTATTCTCTCGATTTAGCGGAGGAGCAATATGCAACTTGTATTCGGAAAATAGTCGAGATTATAACGGAAAGTTACAGGGTATCAACAAATAAATTTTTTACGTAAAATATAATTTAATATCATAAATTAAAATATATTGATTATATCAGAAACATATGTTTTGTACTAGAATTTTCGTGACGAAAAAAAACGAGAAAAGTCATCAGTATTAAAAGAACAGGAAGACAATTCTGAAAAGGTGGACAAAACGAAGTACTGTTTCGCTCCTGAAGAGGTGAGATTAATTCCAACAGTGAGATACGAGGAATTATATTGCGTTGCGCGTTCGTGTGCTTGTTACAATAATTTTCAGGATGAGCTAACTTGTTTCACGCAATATCTGTACAAAACTGGCACGTACTTAGATGTACGCAGCACTTTGAAGTTGAAAGTGATCACGTTGCTGGATCAAAAATTCAAGAAAACTGCACAAAACATGAATACTGTACAATCCATTAACAGCCAGGTCTAAAAATATATTTATTATTTAAAAATTATTATTATAATAATGTTTCGGGCGTCTTATCATATTTATATTATTAGCGTCTCAGATCGACTGTGATTAATATCCGACCGTTTCGGCGCACAGTCACATCTGAGATAATTAAATTTAAATTAAGAATATATATTGTATTCATAATATCTAACTTTGATCGATTATTCTCTATCATATTTATATATATTATTGTTATATATTATATAAAACGTACTCAACTTTCAAATATAGATATATATTCAGGAATTTATTTAGACATAATTGAGAATAAGCAAAAGCTCTAGCAAGCTACGATTTATGTACAGAATTTTATAGCAACCGTATACACGTATCTCGTCGAACAAATGCATCAGGCCATCAACAAGATCGTTGAAAGCCGCCTCCTTGAGGATGACGATTTGCCGCGCACCATAATACCTAAAAAATTATTTTTCTATGCTGAAGAGGCTTATGAATTAGGTCATGTAGATGATGCAAGACGACATTATCAGGCTGTACTTAATCATTTATATTAACCCTCCGTGAACCAGGTGGGGTGTGACACACCCCAACAAGATGAATTTCTATAACTTTTTAAAAAGTACCGCGCGCATGTTGCCGATTTCGTGCAACTGGAGAGTGCGTTGTTACCAATCACACTAAATTATAGTATCTGTATTTATGATGAAATATAGCAAAGAGTATGAGATATACATATACTCACATATGGTGAATTCATGTTGATTTTCCACCTGGTTCGCGGAGGGTTAAAAAAATGTCATATTAAATGTATTATTACGTATAATTTTTTTCACAGGCGATCGCGGCAGATAGAAATAATGCCGAAACGTGGACCAAATATGCGATTTTTCTCTTGAAAATTAACGATACGGAGCGCGCAAGGGAGTGTTGTCGCGAAGCGATTCTTTTGAACAGACGAGATAAATTCGCGTACGTAAAAATACGCAAGTGTACTTTTCTAGTTGAACTATGGAAGACGCAATAGATTCTTAAATAATCTCATGTAATAAATGTTTCTCTCCGTAGTTTATTGACATTCGGATTGATTCTCGCGGAAGATCAGAGTTATCAAAAAGCAGAAATCTTTCTGAGAACTGTTACTGATTTTTATCCTCAATTTGTTGAAGGATGGATTATCTTACATCTTTTTTACACGCGTATCAATTACAGCTCAGGTATAACAAACCTATCATATTCGACGCCTGACTCATAGAAGGTGCTATATCGAGAATGAATACGAAGTACGGTTTATATCGAGAGACACGGTTTATGTTACATAAAATTGCAGAAGGGTCTATATAGCAATACTTTCCTCTCACAAATTTTGTAGTATAATTGAAGACAGGAATCGCCTTGATTTTCAACCCTGTTTCTCGCACTCATTTATTCATTGTATTATTTAATTTTCTTTAATTGAATTTACGTAATTTCCTTTCTTCAATTTCATATGACATAAACCATGCTTAATATTTTTCTCGATATAAACCATACTTCGCATGCGTTCCGACATAGACTGGTCCTCACACCTCATGCGAAATAGTTTTTCATAATTTTTTTTGTAAACATAGACTTTTTTGTGCATTCTTCGATATAGCACCTTCTACGACGATATCTTCATGTCAAGCAAAGATAAGATTAGAATATATGAGAAATATATATTTTTTTAAACAGGAATAGATTTTGTGTTACGAATAGCGGAAGAAAGCGTGAGAAGCGACGATAAAGAGACGGAGATTTCAAGCGAAGATCCTCTTGCTTGGACAATGATTCACTGTCCACAGGATAACGTGTTTATGATAACAGCCACACTCCTGCTAAAACTGCATTTTTGCGAAGTAATATGTCTGTATTCAAAAAAATATATCTACGTAAGAACGTGCGAATTATGCTGTCACGATTTGTTTGAATAGTTTGCTGACTTAGCGTTGGAGAAAGAAATGTCTCGAGCAGGCAGATCCACCCATGTTTTATATTATTTAGCCGTGCGATGTTACTTATCGCAGCAATACGAAGAAGCTTTATCGTACTTGAAAGAAGCTGAAAGTATTTATGGACTGGTTCGTTTGCATTTGCTATTTGCATCATTATTAAATACTTAAATACATCGACCACAATTATAGTTTCTCAATTACGAACTGCAAAATGTAAAATAAATACTTAGATAAAAGATAAATATAGATAACTTTAAATAAATAGATTAATTATCTAATATTATTAAATATAATTAATTATATAATTATATAAAATTAATTCTATAATGATTAATAAATAAGTAAGTAATATAATTCATTATGTCTCTAACTGATTTAATTATCATATAAATATCGTATCAAATTAATTTGCCATCATATTCAAATCTCAAATATATTTCTTTTCTTCAGGATTACTCTATAAGTAGTTTAATGGGACACTGTCATTTTCAAGAGGGTAATTTCGCAGATGCCATTCATTGCTACGAGTTCGCCAATTCAATGATCAACAGGCCGGACGATTTGCATCTCGTGCAAACCAGGTAAAATCATTTGTCTCGATATTGCGCGATTAGAAAAAAAAAATAGAATTAATTTATTTATAATAACCTTACTATACTAGAATGGGATTGTATTACGAAAACGCAGGCGATTACGAGCGTGGGTTAAAAGTATTTCTCACGGCATGCAAAACTTCACCCACGGCGGAAACGTGGCTTGGTGCAGGAATCGCTTTTTTTGAGGTGAATTAAATCAAGTTAAAAAGAAAGAGAAATTTGCAACAAAAATTTTTATGCCAAAATTATTCTTTCATATGCAAAATCGCTTTTATATGAAAATTGTCTCAGCTGCAACGATTCACGGAAGCCGAGGCGGCTTTATCGGAAGCGAACCAAATCGATAATCGTAACGTGACTATTTGGAAATATCTATGTCTGTTAAATATGTCTTTACAACGTGACGACGAATTCACTCAGTGTTACGAACAAATCGCTCAGGTGAAAAGCCTGTAAAAAAAAGAATAATGTTGCGTTCTTGCGTCTTTATGACGTGTTACCTTCATCTTTACAGGACAATACGGCTTTCTCTCTAGAGAAACGGTCCCTCAAACCGCGGGATGGAAAATCGGGATCGGTCATGCTCTAGAAACTCTAGATGCCATAGACGCTGTAGCATATAAAATTCCCGTGTCTTTGATTCAGAAAATTATTATAGTTAGCTCAACAATCGCGATGAGATTGATGGTGAGTCAGACTGTAATCTAGTGAAATATTTATAGATTTGCACTCTATCCAGCTAGATTTTGTTACGCAATATTACACGACAGAAATATTCGATTAAATAATCAAAGAATCAATATTTTCTTGCAGTGCACTCTTGTTATACTTTGTCTGCTTGATGTAGCGATATTTACGACGATTAGCTGCAATGAGTCAACCAGTGCAATGCGTCATTCAGTTTTAAAAAAAGGTAATACTGCAGACATCGTTATCAACAATTATTTACGACTACGGAAACGTTTAAATTTATACTTTGTTCTCATAACCTTCATTCCAAAGTAGTTCGAATTATAGAAAAGAAAAATGTAAGATAATAATATTGCGATATTTTTCTTAAGAATGTAAGAATTGGTTGCGTCAACCTTACTTTGACTTTAAGTGAGATTTAAAACTATATCTGTCTCGTTTTAAAACCAGACAGAGACAAAAAGAGTTTTCGCTTAAAATCAAAGTAACATTAGTGCAATCGTGTCTAAATTCTATTAAAAACTATGCAGTTGCTATTTGTTTGCAGATGTTCCGCGGATCAAAATAAAGGTGTTTCGTGGTCCAACGCAGGAAGAGAATGACGAATATTTTGCTACTTGGGGATATTGGATTCAACAACCCAGCAGATAATGTCGATATGGCAGTTTTTCTGATTTTACTTGCTCTCTATCATTTATATGTAACAATGAAATAAGTATTTCTTCTTCACAATGTGCGTAAAATAATAATAATATATATCGAAAGATTAAAATCACAAGACTAATTGTTTTTATGATTAAAATAAATCTTCATTTATTAATTATATTATATTAGTGATAGTTGTCTAATAATTGTTTGTAATTAAAATTAATATATTTCTGCTAAAATGGATAATTTTTTTGTCTTCTTGTCAAAGTGGATAGGAATATTGAAAAGGAGCATCTTAAAATGCGTAAAGATAATGAAAAATACACAAGATATTTTATAATATTAAGATGTCATGTCGTTTATATTATATTCAGATGTTACAATACAGTTATTATTTAGGCGTACATTATAAATACAACGCCAACTCTGTAAGACATGAATACATATTACTTTTTACATGATGGATTATTCGGATCCAATTGTTTTGCATGATTGTCCAAATCCGCTTTGTCACCCTTCCCTGTGTACCCAGCCTTGTGACCAGGTCCGCTTGGCGTATGAGTCGGATTGCATTGATTAGTACGATTGGCTACATCCTTTGAATCCATCTAGAACATGAATATAATTTTTGTAATAAAATATATAATAATATAAATATATAAATTCGATCCGTGTCTTAAATTCGCAGTTCGTTTAAAGGGATCCTAAAGCCGTCTATATTATCGATTAAATCGTAATTTTTGTATAGCAATTACTTTTTTCCTGTTTTACAAATTCAAAAATCTTTTTCTAACATTAAAGTATACACATGACAAAAAACTTCAAAATTAAAATCTTAAGAAAAATTTTTCGTTGTTCTCGATGTAAATTCCATCTCACAGACAAGTACTAATGCATATGCTTATTAATTATGAAAAAAATTTTCAAATTTGTAAAAAAAGAAAAAAGTAATTATTACATAAATATTATGATTTAGTTGGTAATACAGACGGCTTTAGGAATTTTGGAAAACTTCTTGTGATTTAAGATTCACATATGAAGGAATTCACATGCAGAATTTAAAAACAAAATTTAAAAAAATTTTTAATTAAATGTTTATTGTAAATTGAATTTCGGCCAACAGCTTAATAATGAAATTATTTAATTTGACAAGGAATTCTTTAAAATTATTGTATCTAATCATTATAATTCAATTTTTACATTCCGTTTTCAATCTATTGGTTCTCTATGTTTAATTATACTATTGTAAACACTGAGGATGACCTGATGTAGAAGATCAAACCGTTTGTATTTAACTTATTCATTTTAATATGATAGAATAATTTCGCAATAATACATATATAACGTCGACTTTTATAATCCTTTAATAATAATTTATTCAAAAAGCCGTTATAAATTTCAATTTAACAATTTTTTAAAAATTACATTATAATTGTGAATATATGCAAATATTATAACGCATATTGCGTTATAATATTTCGAGTATTGATATACGAAGTATAACAGCAGCCACTCTCTTTTCTTTAAGTTACAGACACTTGAATGAATTTTTATAAAGTTTTTCTTTTTTAATAAACTTTCAATAAACTATTACTTTACGCACTGTCGTAATTTTATATGGAACTGCTGCTGCTATCCTTTAACTTAAACTGATTCTAATCACAAAATCATTAATTTTTTGTAAAATACTAACTATACTAGCAGTAAAATTAATTAATAAATTAAAATTAATGAGACAAAATACTCACTTTGCTTTTAGCTGGATGAAGTCTTACTAAAAAACTTGGAAATATTAAAGCTTTCAATACAAACTACGTAAATGACGACCAAAGATCCAAGAAATATTTGCAGTACGATTACGGCGGTTTTAATGAGTAAAGTGAGGTGAAGTTAGTACTGATTACAGTATTTATACCATCTCAAGCATCATGCAGGGAATCCCCTAATAATTCTGATCAAAAGAGGGGGAAATCCTCCGAATGGTTCCATTTTCAAACAGAAGAGTTGATTCTATTTCCAAAGCAGAGGGAAAGGTTGGTTTATTAAGATGCCTTTTCATGCTGACACTTGACGCTCATTTTTAACGTCAAAATAGGTCAAGTGATCGAAATTAACGCTTGATATTCGTCAATTTCTATCACGTGACTTATTTTGAAAATAAGCATCGAGTCAGTATGAAAAAGCACCTTTATGTATCCTACATTATAAACGTCATTCTAGACGTACAGTCAACATAATGCTAATAGTGCTTTGAAATGTTCTTTGATTGGTCAATTCATGAAATTCATTCTTCTGATTGGTCAGTCAAATGCTTCAAAGCATTTGTAGCAAGACCATAAAAATTTAAGCCGACAGTATTCATAGTCGATTCTTATATTTAAGACCATCTTAAGTACAATCTTAAAATGTCATAAACCAATCAAAGAGCCACATTATTATCTTAAGACATTACTTAAGACGGTCTTAAAATAAGAATAGATTATGAACACTGTCCTTAGTATTTATTAGCTAATCAATATCACGGACAAACTTGTTTTATGACATGTGTAACGGGCTTTAGGCTTTTGTCAGCCATGTGCTGTGTACATGGTTTAATAATGCAATACAGCCAACTCACCCTCTACTTTGTTTGAAAACACGACTACGTATGCCTTCCAACAAGCGACACAATCGATCATTACATCCTTATTGTTTGCCAATTTTAAACAAATTAACATGATCACTGTGTCGCATCGTGTCGCTTGTTGGAAGGCATATTACATGGCCAACTCTACTGCTAGTTTGAAAACAAAACCCGTCTGGGGAAATTTATTTCTTTTCTTGATTAGAGTATGATGTAAGAATGCAAGGTGTACTATTGCACATAATGGCGATAGCAATACTGGAAACAATCAATCAAATTTTGGCCTCTATGCACTTTACTGCGTACAATAGCGCTGGCATATTGGAATAGCCAATCAAATTTTGACCTCAAATTCACTCTCTTACTACGCATCCTCAGGAATGATACACCTTGTCTTCTTATAGATTAGAATTTACCTCTATAGATTAGAATTTACCTCTGGAGTTCTCCGTTAAGACTTAAATATTGTACAAAGTGAAGGAATAGCGATAGCGATAGGAATAACACGATTTCAACCTATCAGAAAGTGTATATTTCAGTGTATTTGATTTCTGAGAGGTTGAAATCGTGTTATTTCTATCGCTATTTTTTCGCATTGTGTTTAAGGCTTTAGATATATAAATGCTTGCAGATTATAAAGCGGGCACGATAACATATGTTGACAATAAAATATCTTATTGTTTTCAATAATTATTTATTAGTTAAAGACAATAGAAATTTTAATCATAATTTTGAATCAATTAATTTTATTTAAAAGACATTTTCTCTTCCCTTTCCTTATACCTATATCAGATTTTAAAAAATTTATCATAATACTTGATAATATAATATACTGTTCATTGCATTTCTCGTCATAATATATCCTGGTAAAATTTTTCATACATGAATATGTATAAATATATATAAACATACATAAATATTTATAAGCATGTATAATTATATATGAAATATGTCCATACATATTCATACCTTTTTTCTTTCGTAAAATTACTTTTTAGTGTAACAGAAATAATAATAGTAATGAAAATATTAATAATAATTAAAAAGATAATTTTTGCACTATTTGTTTTAGAAAAAATCAAGTTTGAAGAAAAAATTACTTACGTATAATTATGTATAAGCAATTTTTTTTACATTTTTTCAAACTTATTTTTTTCTAAAACAAACAATGCGAAAATTATCCCTTTAATTATTTTTTATGTTTTCACCTTTCTATTATTATTTCTATTACACTAAAAAATAATTTTACAAAAGAAAGAAAGATGTATAAACATGTATGAACATATTTATGAATAATTTATACGTGTTTATGTATGCTTATACATATTTATACATATTCCTGAACGAAAAATTTTTTACCAGGATATAAAGATTTCAAAAATTAAAGAAAAAATAGTTTTATAAATTATATCGTATAAAAATAACGAGCAGGATGCGAAGCAAAAGCAATAAAACGTTGACAGAAAAGATAAGCTCTTAGAGTTGACTCGCATATCACATCTATAAAGATAATTTGCGAGTATAATAGTTCTAAGAACGTGATTAAATGTCGGAACAAATGCAAACAATCTATAGGACTGCATTTCTGTATAAATTGTTAATATATAAGCCAATTAAAATTTATAACTGTTAGACATTCGGATTAATAGCATTTTTGATAAATTGTCTTTGTATATATAAATTGTGTTAATCGATAAAGCAAAAATATTTATGCAAAATAAATTTAATCAATAATTTAGAATAAAGAAATATGTATAAAATAGGACTCCTTATAATTGTAAAGTAATACAGATTTAAGGGGGTTAATTTAAAGTCAGCGCGGTAAGAAGCAATTTATGCAATTTATACTTATATGATCATTTTTAATACAATAATATAATGTGTATTAAAAGATATAAGTTTAAACGTTTCGGCTATCGATTTTAGCCATCTTCAGCAAATATATAATTAATATACTAGCAGAGAATATCTTCTTTGAAAATATGAAGATGTTATCAATCTTCTATCTAGTCGGAAAGTGAGAAAAACACAAACATCGCATAAAGAAGTTGCCTGCCTTCTTGTTTAACAAGTGATTGCGTTCTTAATCTCCATATACCACTGCAATTAAATATAATACAATATTGAGTAAATGAAAAAAATTTGTATAAAATATGTTGTGATGAAACTTAGAAATCGTCAAAATGTATCAAATGTTTTTAACTGTTTCACGTTTATCAATGTAATTCGGATGTAGTTGCGCAATTGTACACGCATGATATATCGAGTATAACCGAGAAGACTGGTTTGGAAAAAGATATTTTCTATGCAGAACCTCGGAGTACAAATTTAAAAGAACAAGAATCAAAAAAGGTTGACATGGTATACATATAATATTTAGAATTTCACGCAAATTCATTTAGTATTTAAAACATTTAGTATTTAGTATTTAAATTCTGAATATGTAACACACTTAAAAAAATCGGCATTAATTAAAAGAGTTTTTTTAATTGGATTTCGATTTTTTAATTCAAACGGGTATCGAAATAACGCAAAGTGTTAATTTCTTAAAAGTCTTGTTAATTTCGAAGACTGGTGAGCCTGTAGTTGTCATGATCAAGGTCGAGCTTTTTTATAAAAGTCTACAAGGAACTCCACTTGTCCCTTGTAGATTCGAAAATGACTTTTCAGACATGTAAGTTCATAATCATCACAATGAAAAGTATCATAATATTTAGTTGTTAAAAAATTATACAAAAATTTATCCCAAATAATTAATTTCATTAGAATCAAGGAAATAATGCAGCCGAAAGTAACTAAGTCACGTTATGTTTATTTTGTCGATTTAGCGCAGCAATATTATGCAATTTTATATTCGGAAAACAGTGAAGATTATTACGGAAACCTACAGAGTATCAACAAATAAAATTTTTACGTAAAATATAATTTAATATCGCAAATTGAAATATATTAGAAATATAATATCAGAAATATAATTTCGTATTAGGGGCTTTCGTGATAAAAAAAAAAATGAGAAAAGTCATCCGCATTAAAATATCAGGAAGGTGATTCTGAAAAAGTGGATAAAACAAAGTACTTTCGCTCCTGAAGAGGTGAGATTAATTTCAACAGTGAGATATGAGAAATTATATTGCGTTGCGCGCGCGCATTCGTGTACTTGTTACAATAATTTTCAGGATGAGCTAAATTGTTCCACGCAATATTTTTACAAAACTGGCATGTACTTAAACGTACGCAGCACTTCAAAACTAAAAGTGATCACGTTGCTGGATCAAAAATTCAAGACAAATGTGAATACCGTATACTCCATTGACAGCTAAGTCTAAAAATATATTTATTACTTAAAAATTATTATTGTTATATATTATATAAAATGTATGCCGCTTTCAAACGACGGAGATCTCAAGCGAAAATTATCTCGCTTGGACAATGATTCACTATCCACAAGACGACATGTATATAGCAGTCACACTCCTACTAAAACTGCACTTCTGCGACGTAATATGTCTGCATTTAAAATACATCTTACGTAAGAACGTGTGAATTATGCATTTGTGTAGTATGCTGACTTAGCGTTGGAGAAAAAAATGTGTCGAGCAGGATCCACTCATTCTATATTATTTAGCCCTGCGATGTTACTTATCGCAGCAATATAAAGAAGCTTTATCGCACTTTCAAAAAGTCAAATTTATGGATTGATTCGTTTGCATTTGCATCATTATTAAATATTTAAATACATCGACCACAATTAAAGTTAATTAAGTTTCTCATATACAAACTATAAATGTAAATTAAATATTTAGATAAAAAATAAATAGAGATAACTTTAAATAAATAGATTAATTATCTAATATTATTAAATGTAATTAATTATATAATTACATAAAATTAATTCTATAATAATTAATAATTGATTACTAAATAATTAATTAATATAATTCATTATGTCTCTAACTGATTTAATTATTAAATAAATATCGTACTAAATTAATTTGCCTATGTTATATTTAAATCTCTAAATATGTTTCTCTGTTCAGAATTACTCTATAGATAGTTTAATGGGACACTGTCACTTTCAAGAGGGTAATTTCGCAGATGCCATTCATTGCTACGAGTTCGCCAATTCAATGTTCAACAGGCCCGACGATTTGCATCTCGTGCAAACTAGGTAAAAATCATTTGTCTCGATATTACGCAAGACGATTGAGAGGAAAAAAAATAGAATTTATTTATAATAACATTACGATACTAGAATGGGACTGTATTATGAAAACGCCGGTGATTACGAGCGTGGATTAAAAGTATTCTTCACCGCATGCAAAACTTTATCCATGGTGAAAACGTGGCTTGGTGCAGGAATCGCTTTTTTTTAGGTGAATTAAATCAAGTTAAAAAGAAAGAGAAATTTGCAACAAAAATTTTTATGCCAAAATTATTGTTTCATACGCAAAATCGCTTTTATATATGAAAATTGTCTCAGCTGCAACGATTCACGGAAGCCGAGGTGGCTTTATCGGAGACGAACTAGATCGATAATCGTAACGTGACTGTTTGGAATATATTTATGTCTGTTAAATATGTCTTTACAACGTGACGACGAATTCGCTCAGTGTTACGAACAAATCGCCCAGGTGAAAAGCCTGTAAAAAAAACAAGAATAACATTGTGTTCTTGCGTCTTTGTGATGTGTTATCTTCACTTTTACAGGACAATACGGCTTTCTTTCTAGAAATGGTCCCTCAAACCACGGAATGGAAAATCGGGATCAATTATGCTCTAGAAACTCTAGATGCCACAGACGCTGTCTGCATATAAAATTCTCGTCTTTGATTCAGAAATTTATTATAGTTAGCTCCACAAATTATGATGAGATTGACAGTGAGTCAGACTGTAACCTAGTAAAATATTTATAAATTTGCACTCTATCCAGCTAGACTTTATTATGCAATATTACACGACAGAAATATTCGATTAAATAATCAAAGAATTAATATTTTCTTGCAGTGCAATCTTGTTATACTTTGTCTGCTTGATGTAGCGATATTTACGACGATTAGCTGCAATGAGTCAAGCAGTGCGTCATTCAGTTTTAAAAAAGGTAATAATACTACAGACGACAACATATCGATAATTATTTGCAACTATGAAAACGATTAAATTTATATTTTATTCTCGTAAGCTTCATGCCAAAGTAGTTCGAGTTATAGAAAAGAAAAATGTAAGATAATATTGCGGTATTCTTATCTAAAACCCGGTTGCATCAACGTTACTTTGACTTCAAACAAGACTTAAAACTCTGTCTGTCTCGTTTTAAAGCCAAAAAGAGACAGAAAAAGTTTTCAACCTCGCTCAAAATCAAAGTAACGTTGGTGCAATCGGGCCTAAATGCTATTAAAAATTATGCAGTTGCTATTTGTTTGCAAATGACGTTCCGCGGATCAAAATAAAGGTGTTTCGTGGTCCAACGCAGGAAGAGAATGACGAATATTTCGCTACTTGGAAATATTGGATTCAACCCAGCAAATAATGTCGATATTTGGCAGTTTTTCTGATTTTACTTGCTCTCTATCGTTTATATGTAACAATGAAAGAAGTATTTCTTCTTCAATGTGCGTAAAATAATAATAATATGTATCAAAAGATTAAAACACTAATTGTAACACTAATTGTTTTTATGATTAAAAAAAACCTTAATTTATTAATTATATTATATTAGCGATAGATAGCTGTATAACTGTTTGTGATAAAAATTAATATATTTCTGATAAACTGGATAATTTTTTTTCTTCTTGTCAAAGTGGATAGGAATATTGAAGGAAAAATCTTAGAACATCTTAGAATGCGTAAAGATAATGAAAAATATACAAGATATTTTATAATATTAAAATATCATGTCGTTTATATTATATTCAGACGTTATAATACAATCAGCGTATACATTATAAATAGAACGCCAAGTCTGTAAGACATGAATACATATTACTTTTTATATGATGGATTGTTCGGATTCAATTGATTTCCATGATTGTTTAAATCCGCTTTGTTACCCGCCCCTTGGTACCCAGCCTTGTGACCAGGACCACTTGGCGTATGAGTCGGATTACATTGATTAGTACGATTGGCTACACCCTTTGAATCCATCTAGAACATGAATATAATTTTTGTAATAAAATATATAATAATGTAAATGTATAAATTCGATGCATGTCTTAAATTGGCAGTTCGTTTAAAGGGATCCTAAAGCCGTCTATATTATCGACTAAATCGTAATTTTTGTATAGCAATTATTTTTTTCCTCTTTTACAGATTCGAAAATCTTTTTCATTCACATTAAAGTATACACATGACAAAAAATTTCAAAATTGAAATCTTAAGAAAAATTTTTCGTTGTTCTCGATGTAAATTCCATCTCACAGACAAGTACTAATGCATATGCTTATTAATTCTGAAAAAAAATTTTCAAATTTTTAAAAAAAGAAAAAAGTAATTATTACATAAATATTATGATTTATTCGGTAACACAGACGGCTTTAGGAATTAGAAAATAATAAAGAAAGGAGAAAAAAAATGGAAATATAACATTAAATGAATAATAAAGAAAGGAGGAAAAGAAATAGAAATATAACATTAAACGGATTGATTAAAAGATAAGAATTTGCAAGAAATTGATTAATACGTTTCACATCATTTCATTTTAAACAAAAATTTAAGATATTTTCTTACATATTTTCAGAAATAAACTGTTTATATGCATCTATCGTGTTATTTTTTATATATAGATTCTTCAATCGCAAATTAGACATACTACATTGTTAATACACTACGGTTTAAAGTAGATGACTAAGTCATTCAGTACATCATAATATTTAAATTAAATATTTTTAATGTGTATAAAAAGAATAACGAAATTAATTTTTTTAATTATTAGAAAAAGAAGCATAAAACCGACATTAAATATTATTACGATTTTTATGTTGTCTAATAATAATTTTTTCTTTCTCTAATAATAATTGATTTATTTAAAAAATCATTATAAATTTGAATTTAAAATGCGCATTAAAATACGTCCTCACTTTACACATTTCTTTTTTTTTATTTCATAAGGACGTAATACAGTAATAATAATGTGTGCTATTAGGTTACTAATTAATTTTTAACTGTTAAATTAAAAATTGTATGAAAATTATGGAAATTAACGTCAAGTTATATATTATATATATAATTGAGAATTTATTTTCTGGCAAAAAAAGGCATGTGGCTGCTGTTATACTTTGTATATTAATACTAGAAATATTATAACGCAATATGTGTTCACAGTATAATGCAAGTTTTTAGAATATCGATCATGTCACTTTTTCTTTACAGCACAAACTTTAAAAGAAAAATTTTTTTAAATATATGTATGATATGTATACATACATACATAAAAATTTTCACTTTTTACGTTTCTGCTATAAAGAAAAAGTTATATGATCGATATTCTAAAAACTTGCATTATACTGTGAACACATATTGCGTTATAATATTTCCAGTATTAATATACAAAGTATAACAGCAGCCACATGCCTTTTCTGTAAGTTACAGACACTTGAATAAATTTTTATAAGATTTTTCTTTTTTAATAAACTTTCAATAAACTTATATTACGCACTGTCGTAATTTTATATAGAACTGCTATTCTATTTATATAGAGCTGCTATTCTTTAACTTAAACCAATTCTAATCACAAAATCATTAATTTTTTGTAAACTATACTAGGAGTAAAATTAATTAATAAATTAAAATTAATGAAATAAAATACTCACTTTTACTGTTAATTGGATGAAGTCTTATTAAATGAAAAGACTTGGAAATATTGAAGCCTTCAATACGATCTACGTAAATAATGATCAAGGAACCAAAAGATACTTGCAGTACGATTACGGTTTTAATGAGTAAAATGAAGTGAAGTTCGTACTGATCGCAGTATTTATACCATCTCAAGCATGATACAGGGAATCCCCTAGAGGTAATTCTGATCAGGAGACCACCAATTTCCCCTCTTGTTCCGAGCGTTATCAACATTTGTGGCGACCTCATAGCTATGACACAGGAAATGAAGAACTAATATTTAATATGGCTGCCATATGGAAATCATTGTTTCCGGCCGACATCTTTATCGCCATGTAAGCATATAGCTGCGTTCATTATTGATGATCACGCGCTTTAAGTGCTTATAATATGGCTGAGTCCATTATGGACGCTCACGCATTTTAAAACCGAACCCGCATAAAAATATACTAGTGTTACTACTAGTGCAGGAATAAATTCGCATCACTATACTGTTCTTTGCATTTGTATTGAAATCATTTTTATATGTATTACAATAGTGCACTAAATAATGCCACTACTCGTTCCAGCAGACATTATTGCATTAATAGTGACACTGCTTGTTCCAGTAGTAGCACTTGTACTTGTTAAAATAACTGCACTACTATACTACTGTACTACTGTACTACTCGTAGTGTCACAACTATGGCGATAGCAAATATGGCGATAAAAGTGTTCCGATCGGAATATGCCGGAAATGCCGATGAAAGCTATATTGAATATTAGTTCCTCATCTCTTGTGTCAGCTATGAGGACGCCACAAATGCTTGTAACGGAAAAATCATAGTAGTTTGGTGACTCTGATTCTGATGAAAAGAGGGGAAATTCTCCGAATGGTTCCATTTTCAAACAGAGGAGTTGATTCTATTTTCAAAGCAGAGGAAAGAGTTGGTTTATTAAGGTGTCTTTTCATGCTAACGCTCGACGCTCATTTTCAGCGTCAAAATAGGTCACGAGATCGAAATTAATGCTTGGTATTCGTCAATTTCTATCACGTGACTTATTTTGATGCCAAAAATGAGCATCGAGTGTCATCAGTATGAGCTCATATAGGCACCTTTATGCATCCTACATTATAAATGTCATTCTAAAAGTATGGTCAATCTAATGCTAGAAATGCTTTGAAACGTTCTTTGATTGATCAGTTCATAAAATTCGTTCTTCTGATTGGTCAGTCAAATACTTCAAAGCATTTGTAGCGAGACCGCGCCATAAAAATTTAAACCAGTAATATTCATAGTCGGTTCTTATATTTAAGACCGTCTTAAGTACATTCTTAAAATGTCATGAACCAATCAAAGAATCATATTAATATCTTAAGATATTACCTAAGACAGTCTTAAAATAAGAACGGACTATGAACACTGCCCTTAGTATTCATTAGCCAATCAATATCGCGGGCAAATTTATTATACGACATGTGTAACGGACTTTAGGCTTGTTTGTCAGTCATGCGCTGTGTACACGGTTTAATAATATAATGCAGTCCACTCCTTCCTCTGCGTCGTTTGAAGACATGATCAACTCTACTGCTGAAAACAGAACCTGTCAAGGAAATTTATTTCTTTTCTTAATTAGAGTTATCTCTATGAAGTTCTCTCCGTTAGATATACAAATGCTTACAGATTATCGGTATACCAATTGACAGCTACGAAGAAATTTCTTTTTAGATATTCTCTATAATCTAATTGAACTTGCAATTATGTAATAAATTTATCTGATAAATCTGAATTTATTGTGCGTCATATTCTCTTGTCTAATTAAATCTTTTTAGTCGTTAATCAGTCTTTGAGCAATCTGTTGTAATAATATTTTTTTGAGTTAGGTGCTACACACTCTTATTGAATATGATGCGAATTACATATTGTGTGTACTCTATATATATATATATAATATATATATATTTTATGTGTAAATGTTTTATATTAAATCATAATGTCGTAATTAAATCAAATTGACCTTCGCACCTATCATCAATAAATCAAATAAATATGTAGCGCACGTAGCTGCAAGCGTGTCGTGTGCAAAATAACGTACAAACTAACCGCAGCAAAGTAAAAAGGGTTGCATCCTTATAGGTGTTCGTAATTTATTATGAAGTACTTAACATTATTACCGCAATTAAGTTCGTAAATTACTTCTTCGTAAATTAAGCAATAAAAACAATCAAAATAATATCAAAATTTATAATAAATACTAAATACTTTTTCTCAGATCTCTTATTGGATATAAATATTTACTCACATTGTGCTTTTTTAGAATTTCTCACCTGCGTGATTTGTCTGTAACGAGTAAATTTGTAAAGATACTATAAAGATGTATTTAACAGTCTAAAATATTTTCAAACAATCGCATTACAATTATCGATTTGATCCAGTATAAGTCGTCTCAGCTTCAGTACATCGTCATGAGTAAAATAATTTTCGTGTGTAGAAGTGACTTTTGCGTATAGAAGAATAATCTTTGCATGAAAAAGTCTTCATCGCACAATAAGATAAAAACAACCGTTTCTCTGTCAGGGAACAATCATCGATCATTCATCGGCGTGTTTTAAATTTGAAATCGAATTCGATTTGTCATCGAATATTGAACGTCGCAGATGTGCATTGCAGGTTTATACAGACGCGCTTAAACGCACGCGCTTAAATAACG